AGGAGGAGATGATGTTCTTCAGCAGCCTCTCAAACACCTTCATTACTACCGAGGTCAGTGCAACTGGCCGGTAATCGTTCAGGGATGAGGGTTTGCTGTTCTTGGGCACAGGGATGATGGTGGATCTTTTGAAGCATGTGGGGACCACAGACTTCGCCAGGGACTCGTTGAAGATGTAAGTGAACACACCTGCTAGCTGGTCAGCGCAGCAGACGGCCGGTGATGCCGTCTGGCCCCGCCGCTTTCCTTGTGTTCACTCTCCTCAGTGCCGCTCGGACGTCATGCTCCGCGATGCTGGTCACCGGTCTCTCGCTGATGACGTCACTGTCCTCGGTAGTCAGGCGGTAGATAGCATTAGCCGCCTGGCTAACCTCGAAACGGGCGTAGAACCGATTCAGCTCGTTGGTGAATGCAGAGTCGGCGTTGATCGGCGCAGTGTCCCTGGCTTTGTAGTCCGTAATGGTGCGTAGTCCGTGCCACATACTCCGTGTGTCGCCCTGGTGGAAGCGGGACTCCACACGTTCCCGGTACCGGCGTTTGGCATCTCTCACCGCGCGCCGCACGCCGTATGAGGCCGCTTTGTAGGCGCTCATATCGCCAGTGGCGAGACCCGCGTTGTAGGAGGCGGTCCTGGCGTTTACTGCAGTGCGGATCGATCTGTCCATCCACGGTTTCTGGTTTGGGAATGTGGTGACTCTCGCAGTGGGGATAATCTCCTCCGCTAGCATATTGACGAAGCATACTGCTACTTCCGTAAACTCGTTGATGTCGACTGCGCATGCTCTGAACATGTCCCAGTCTACATCGTTGAGTGCATCCTGTAGCGTACTCGAGAGATCAGCTGATCGTATTGATGTCGCCTGCTCAACGGTCAGAACCACAGATGTACCAGTTGAAATCTGGAGGAAAACACACCGAGAATGCAGAGGTGGAGGACAGAAGAGGACAAGGAAAGAGACGGTGAGACAGCAGTATTTCTGACTTCTCCACGGAGTCAGAGGAAATACTGGGAGTGTAGCTCGATGTGTTTCACTGAATCATGGATGCACCAGGATATTCCCGACCACAACACATTCGTGGAAGGGAAGGCTTCCACGCTGTTCGGGCAGACAGGGACAGTGCCGCAAACGGTGAGGTGAAAGGACGGGGGCTTGCTGTTCTTGTTGACAACTGTTGGTGTAACCCTGCCCACGTAACAATCAAAGAAAGGATTTGCTGCCCGGACATTGAACTGTGCACTGTCTCCCTCTCTCTCCACATAGTTGCCTCTGGTGAAAGTCCTGACACCTCTCCCCCACATATTACTGTCACTCATGACCAGGTTCAGAAGCAAATGAGGAGACTCCACTCAGGAAAGTCTGCTGGACCAAATAGGGTGAGTCCCCGTGTCCTTAAGGCCTGCACCTCCCAGCTTTGTGGAGTCTTTCATAAACTCTTCATGTTGAGTCTGAGTCTACAGGGGGTCCAAGTGCTGTGGAAGACATCATGCTTCATCCCTGTACCAAAGACGCAGTGGCCCCCAGCATTACAGGCCTGTGGCACTGACCTCCCACATTCATGAAGATTCTGGAAGGACTTATCCTGGACCAGCTCCAACCCATAGTCAGACCACATCAGGATCTCCTTCAGTTTGCTTACCAGCCCCGCCCTGAGGACACCATCATCTACCTGCTCCATCATGTCTACACCCATCTGGACCAGCCGGTGAGCACTGTGAAGGTCATGTTTTTTGACTTTTCCAGTGCATTCAACACCATCAGGCCAACCCTCCTGGGTGATAAGCTAACATAAATGCTAACCGCGAAGACCACAATATGTGCGTTTTCCACACCAAGGTAATCATAGGGAGGGAGCTCAATGGAGTGCTTTGGGGGCTTTGAGGTGGTGACCACCAGGGCCACCACAAGGGAATGTCCTCTCCCCCTTCCTCTTCACCCTCTACACCACAGACTACAGCTACTGCACAAAGACCTGCTATCTTCAGAAGTTTTCTGATGACTCTCTGGTGGTTGGATGCATCAGCAGGGGTGATTAGTCAGAGTACCGGGCTGACCAGGTTGATTCCTTTGTTACATGGTGCAAGCAGAAACATCTGCAGCTCAACGTGGCAAAGACCAAGGAATTGATGGTGGACTTAACCCCTGTTTCAATCCAGGGGATCAATGTGGACATTGTGGAGGACTATAAATACCTTGGAGTATACATAGACAATGACCCCCCCCAATTTTTGCACATGTCGAGGAGCGTGTCAGGCTACATTTCACTGTGTGTTATACTTGTATAACTATGCATGTGACAAATAATAAAGAACCTTGAACCTTGAACCTTGAGTAAGCAGCCTGTGTGTATGTAGTAGTTGTGTTGTGGTCCCATTGCTCAATAAAGGTAACAGTTCTGCGGTCACAAGCAGAACAAAAATTCTCTTGATATTCAAACAGACCAAAGTCCAAGTAAAGAAAAAGAATAAGTAAGAAAAAAGCTAAACTAAAAAGAAAAAAGCAGGAGCAATTGTAACAGGCCTCACGCTAGTTGACAAGCGCACAAAATCTATATCTTGATGCATGCTCAATCATCCAGATAAGTAAATCCCAAAAGGTTCTTTCTGTACATCTGGACGTAGCGTTTTCTTTGGGAGAAACATTTCATCACTCATCCAACTTCAGTCTGAGCTGACTGCAGGTTTCCCCAACCTTCCCAAAGTTTCTCCCACTGAAAACTGTACTTCCAAATGAGCAGAATCAGCATTTTTGGGTTGGCTATAGTTGGAACACACCCTTTGATCCCCTTTCTTAAAAATGGGTACCAACACCCTAGTCTGGCAATCAATAGGTACCACCCCTTATCTCCACAAAACATTGTAGACGCGCGTAAACCAAGACAGTTCTACAATATCCAGACCCTTCAGGAACTCAGGACAAACCTCATCCACCCCAGGGGCCCTGCCACCAAGGAGTTGTTGTTGAACTGCCTCATCCTGGAGATGGACGAGTCATCGCCCTTGTCCCTAGACTGCTTCCTCCAAAGAAGACTGTGAAATGCACTACACACAGGTACACACACACACACACACACACACACACAGGTCTTTATCACCAGATTCCACATTTGTTTATAGTTTTCCCTGGGTTATGACTGAACACAGTCTGACAGCTGTCGGTCCCAGCTGATTTCCCTCCCCCTCCTCCGCTCCTCTCCGTCTCACTATAAAAAGGGAAGGAAGCCACCATCAGTCCAAATCGCCATCAGCTGTTCTCACCGGCATCTCCATCACCGCCCGTTGAGCTCACTGCACCACTCCTCCCCTGCAGCCGCGCCCGGGACCACACCTCCGCCACAAAGACATGCCAGTGGTATTCTTTTCACCACCTGACAATGTTCTCAGTCAGAGTCAGGAGCGTGCCACACGCACTATACACACATTTACATTTCATGTTCATACTTGAGGTAACTTGTTTGATGCATATTCACAAAATTGATGTTTGAGAATATTTTACATTTTATCATTATTTCAGTTTATTTTGAAAAATCTCAAGGATGTTGAGCTTTATTGTGAAAGGTTTATGTGGAAAATAAACAAGTGGCTGGCGGAGCCAACACAATGGTTTCACCGTCGTTGTTGCTAACAAACCGAGGCATAAAACTAGTCGTTTGTCTGTCCCAAATGTGATTATTATAAATGTACAATTAAGTGAAAACTCAGCAAGGATAATATAGCCACTACAGTTGGTTGTTTGTTTGGTTTTTTTATTCTTGTAATCACAACTGATTTCGGGGCAAGATATGTTTGGAAAAAGCAAAAACAAAGGACTGTAGAGAATTTAAACATATTTTTGGATATTCTGGTGGTCGTCATAGAATTCATCTTTTTACCTTCAAAAAAGACACGACACATTCTATTAAATTGTTTATTCTCAATTGATAATTTGTGTTTAACTAGCTCAGATTGCCCCAGGCTAAACCTCTTGATCAATCCAACATTGCAATAAACAAAGTAAAAAAAAATGCTCTGGGTGAAATTAATTTTTATCTTTTACATTTTCTCTAGATACTGCAATAATATTGTGAACATAAAATTATTTTAGCCAACGCAATGAAACAAAAGCTCAGCAGTATTTTCAAACAGAGTATTATTTGGTCACATCAACACAGTCTTGACTTATGAGGTTCTGGATCGTTTTTGAATTAGCTCTCAAACTCTGAAAGTGCTGCCGCTGATCTCAATAAACAGACTTTACTCACTTCCTGTACAGAGATTTAGAGATGGGTAAAAGCGGAGTATAGATATGTCTGTGAAGGTGCTCAGTCATCCAGGTCTTTGTAGTCTAAGGAGCTTGGAAAGAAAAGCGTCTGGACTTCTTTGAGTTGCTTGACAATGTTTCACCTCTCATCCGAGAAGCTTCTCGGATGAGAGATGAAACATCTTCCAGCAACTCAAAGGAGTATAGATTCTACAGATGATATGCCATAAAAGGCAGAAATAGTCCACCATCAAAGCAGCCTGTTTTCCAAGTTTGATATGTATGTGGGTTTTTTTTTTACTGAGAACATTTTTGCTTTTGAAATTCAACATTATTACATTGTAAGTCAAATGGCAAACAAGTGCCAACTTGAAGTAGAATTTAACTCTGGCACAAATTCCACCCTGGTCTTGGCAAACAAAAATTTGTAATGTAAGTGGAAGTGCTCCTCAGCAGGCATTAGAGACACACAAATGTAAGAATTCACTTAGTCTGAAAATATTGGCATCAGACAGGACATTCTTTTTTAGAAGAAAAAGAAGTTGTAAATGGTGAAGAAGGCTGAGTATACCAGTTAGAAAGATCGGAGAGAGAGACACAGCTAAGGGTACTGCAGAAAAGAAATTGAAATCCACAGTGAGGGATGGAGAACATAGATATCCAACTGACATTAAGAAAAAGACGAGGGGCGGAGTGAGAAGGGGTGAGTTATATAACTAATTCTGTTTGTAATGCTACATAGAGCTACAGGTCTCTCTGAAAATGGATACACAGGATGTGGCAGAGCTCTGTTTTCCACAACTCTTCAACACCTCCTGCAAGAAACCTCTGTCAGAATTTGTGTTCCTTCATGTTGTGTTGTCCTCCATCTCGCTGCTAACTGTGACTCTCAACCTGCTCGTCATCATCTCAGTCTCCCACTACAGGCAGAGTTGTTGTTATTTTTCTAATAGCTGTGTGTAGCTTAAACATTCTGTGACCTAATTGACTTAAGATGTTTTTGTGACCTCAGTGGTGTATATAATCAAACTATCTGATATAGAAGTGGTCGATTAGAAATGATCAAAACTGTTTTTCTCTTACCAAGAGCTAATGTTTTATTGTTTGTTGGGTTGCTTTAATTTAGCGATTTGAGGACTGTTAATTTAATAATTTTTGTGTCTTCTTGCAGGCAGCTCCACACACCCACTAACATCCTCCTCCTCTCTCTGGCTGTCTCAGACTTTCTTGTTGGTCTCCTATTGATGCCTGGAGAAATCCTCCGAAATACAGCCTGCTGGTTTCTCGGTGACCTCACCTGTTCTATGTACAATTATATGTCTTTAATTGTTACCTCTACCTCAGTGGGAGACATGGTGTTAATATCAATTGACCGCTATGTGGCTATTTGTGACCCTCTGCATTACCCCACCAGAATCACAGACAGAAGAGTGAAACTCTGTGTTTGTCTGTGTTGGCTCTGCTCTGTTTTCTATAGCAGCCTGTTTGTAAAGGATGATCTAACTCAACCAGGGAAGCATAATTCCTGCTATGGAGAATGTACAATTGTTGTTGACTTAATTACAGGAACGATTGACCTTCTTTTAACCTTTTTTGTTCCAGTTACTGTCATTGTAGTTCTGTATCTGAGAGTATTTGTGGTGGCTGTGTCTCAGGCTCGCGCCATGCGCTCTCATGTTACAGTTGCTGCTCTGCAGCTTTCAGTGACTCTAACAACAAAGAAATCAGAGTTAAAAGCAGCCAGGACTCTGGGTGTTCTTGTAGTTGTGTTTCTACTGTGTTTCTGCCCTTATTATTGTGTTACTCTTGCCAGGGACGACCTACTCAATAGTTCATCTGTATCCTTTTTGCTCTATCTGTTCTATTTTAACTCATGTCTAAACCCTTTGATCTATGCACTGCTCTACCCCTGGTTTAGAAAAGCTGTGAAACTCATAATCTCTTTACACATACTGCAGCCTGGTTCCTGTGAGATTAGCATTCTGTAAAAAAAAACAAACAAAAAAAACAAAAAAAAACAAATAAAAGGAACACTGAACAATTGTTGAGTTATTTTGTTGCCCTACTGGTTGGCTACTTTTGGGCTTCCATTTGTGTTATTCTGTGGCACTGGAAATGATGCTGTGTCAGTATTACTGTGTCATCAATGACAGTAACTTGTTGGAAAAGAAGGATGGAAAATATTTTTCATGTTGGCCCTATTAAATGCTGCTACCTGTAATCTGAACTCACCCATTGCTAATTAGCATTTTGTTTGTATATCATCAGAATTATCATTATCACAAATTTGCCTAAGTATTGCAATATACTTTTGAAGCTATATTGCCCACTGCTACACAGTAATTGTCTCTTGTCTCTCTGTGATCCACAGAGAAGTTTGGTAAATGGCCAGCACCATGGACCTTTTTAGATGATCCAGACCACAGCAGTCTTTAATGGCAGCGCCTTCAGCATTAGTACGCACATATGTAAAATTAGTCTCAGTCCTGGGCTAAGTTAGAGAGGTAAACAAAACGCACATGCCTGGTGTGTGACATGGACAGAACTGTGGGTTTCCCATGTGTATAAAGTGCAAGCAGCTGTATGTCGGCAGAGCAAAGAGCTGCGGCTCTGTCAGAGCTGTTTTTTTCCATGCTAACATACTTGATTGTGTGGAGCATACACCTGTGTGGGGAGCCTGCCGTTAATATTTAAATATGAGTTAAGGAGAGGGTCACTTGCTGTGGGGGGATAGTACTGTTCACCTACAGGATAACTGCTTACAACAACACAGCTATGGATTTAGGGGGAGAACATAAATGTAAATAGAAACTGTTTAAATAACCTGTTTAATCATCTCAGTTTATTATTGGTGAGAACTTGTGCCTTTTTAGAAATACAGTAAGCATGGCTTTTACTGTGACACCTCTGCATGTATGTGTATTTAATGTAATTTTCTCATTTCTAATTGGCACACTAACCAGATTAAAAAAACATTTGGATCACGTGAGGGATCACCTTGATATATGATATATATGTGATATTACCATTACCAATAAGTTTGATGTGTCACATGGCCCTCTTCCTATTGAAAAAACAAAAGTTGTATCCAAGATGGCCGACTTCTAAATGGCCACCATGGTCACCACCCATTTTGAGGAGTTTGCCCCCTCACATATACTAATGTGCCACAAACAGGACTTTAATGTCACCAACCATTTCCATTTTATTATGGTGTATCCATATAAATGGCCCACCCTGTATAGGCTGTGTGTCTTTATATAGAAAAGGACTGACTGCCCACAGCGGGCGAGTGGGGAATTTTTTTATATTTAGAGAGAGAGAGATATCTATCTGTGGTCGTGTCCAAATTCATGGGCTGCATCCTCCTGAGGCCGCATTTGTAGACCAATTACATCACAGCGACGCGCCGAAGACTGTCCAAATTCGTAGACTCCTCCGAA